GGGATCAGGACCACAACCTGGGCATGTGCCCTGACCGGGAACCGAACCGGCAACCTCTTGGTACATGGGTCGACGCTCAACCACTGGGCCACACCAGCCAGGCTCACATATACCTTTTTCAATTCAGATATAATTCACATACCATAAATTCTGATGACGTGCATGATTCATAAATTCACCCTGATGACGTGCACGATTCGAGGTTGGATTTTTGTCGTAATTGTTGCTGCAAAGTTGTGACAACATCACTACTATGTAATTCCAGAACATTTTCTTTTTGTAATTTTTTAGTTGTTGATTTTTGGAGAGAGAGAGAGAAACATCAATATGTTGTTCCACCTACTCATGCATTCTATGGTTGATTCTTGTTTGTGCCCTGACCAGGGATTGAACTCAAAACCTTGGCATGTCATGACTATGCTCTAACCAACTGAGCTACTTGGCCAGGGCTTCCAGAACATTTTCATCTCCCAAAAACAAACCCCGTGACCGTCACACCCCATTCCTTCCTTCCTTCCAAAACGCCATTTTCTGTCACTGTGAGTTTACCTACTCTGGACATGTCATATAAAAGGAATCCTACAGCTCATGGCCTTTTGTTTCTGGCTTCTTTGACTCAGCATCATGTTTGTTTGCTGGCTTTTAAAGATTATTTTGAGACAAGGGTCGATTTCTTTCTTTTTATTTTCTATTTGTTAATTATATCTTTGAAATTGATTTATAGAGAGAAAGGGAGAGGGAGAGAGAGAGAGAGAAACATCGATGAACCCTGGCCAGTTTGGCTCAGCGGTTGAGCATCAGCCTGCGGACCAGAGAGTCCTGGGTTCGGTTACCGCTAGGGGCACATACCACAAAAAAGAAGAAAAGAAGAAAAAGAAACATCAATGAGAGAGAGAGGTCAGTTGGCTGTCTCCTGCACACCCCCTACTGGGAATCAAGCCACTGGAAACCAGGACATGTGCCCTGACCCCGAATGGAACTCTCAACATCTTGATACGCAGGATGACACTCAGCCAGCTGAGCCACACCGGCCAGGGTGGGGGCACACTTTGTAAAGGATATGATTGTCTGACCCCTACTGAATGTAAACTGGAATTGAAAAATACATTTTAAAAAAATTCTTCAAACCCCTTATATTCCTTTCCACTTATCAACACTAGAATATGTTACAATTAAGGTCTGGCATTTTTGTAATCAGAAAATCACATTTTCTTGGTGAGAAAAAAAAAAGTCTCAGGGAGCATTGTGTGTTTCCTGAATGGGGTGTCAAAGAACATTATCTTGCCCTGGCTGGTTTGGCTCAGCGGTTAGAGCGTTGCCCTGCGGTCCGGAGAGACCCGGGTTCGGTTCCCGCTAAGGGCATGTACCTTGGTTGCAATTTGTCCCCGGCCCTGGTTGGTCGTGCGGGTGGCAGCCACTCAATGTGTCCCTTTCACATCGATGTTTCTCTCTCTCTCTCTCTTCCTCTCTCTCCCTCCCACTCTATCTATACAAAAAATGGAAAAATGTCCTCAGGTGAGGATGAAAAAAAAAAAAAAAGAACATTATCTTTAGATTCTGAGACCCATGAAGTCAGGGGCTGGAATGAATTCATTCCTGTATCCCCAGAAATGTGCTGAGCTACAGAAGTCCCCCATATGGTCACTTCTCTTTCTTCCTATCAGAAACAAGGGCTTTTCTTGAAAGAGGGTATAGGAACTACTTATTGACTCAGCTTTCCCCAATTTGAATTCCTAGAAATCTGTCTTTCCCCTTCTGTGACTGTCCTGTGGAAAGTCAGCTGATGAATCATCCAGGGAAGATCAGATCCAACCCATTGAGTCTTCAGGGTGGCAGCATCTTCTTCCTTTCCCCTTGCCTTAGAGCCTTTGCTGCTCACCCCCAGACCCCTCAATTACGTACCCTGACCCCACTACGGCCCCTGAACCAATGGTCCAAGCTCCTTTCTGTTCCCCCCCAGCCCCCAGGCTTCCTCCTTTGGTTCCTCTTGAAGGATCTTCCTTCCCGTGGATCTGACTGCATCTCTCCCCTGATCAAAACTCTGCCGTACGATGGAATATTATGTAGCCATGAAAAGGGAGAAAATTCTGGCACAGGCTGCAACATGGATGAACCTTGAAGATGAACCTTATTTGACATACTAAGTCAAATAAGCCAGACATAGGAGGTTACAAATGACATGACTCCATTCCTATGAAATACACAGAATAGACACATTCAGAGAGAGAGAAAGTAGATTGGTGGTTACCAGGGGCTGGCAGAGGGGGAAACGGAAAGTGACATTCTTCATGGGCATGCGGCCTCCTTTTGGGGTGACGAATAGTGCTGATAGTTGCACATCATTGCCAATATATTTAATGTCTCTGGATTGTACACTTGAAAAGAGTTGAAATGGAGCCCTGACCGGGCAGCTCAATTGATTAGAGTGTTGTCCCCATACACCAAGGTTGCAGGTTCATCCCTGGTGAGGGCACATACAAGAATCAACCAATGACGCCTGGCTGGTGTGGCTCAGCGGTTGAGTGTTGACCCATGAATCAAGAGGTCGCAGGTTCAATTCCCAGTCAGGGCACATGCCCAGGTTGTGGGCCCCACCCCCAGTAGGGGGCATGCAAGAGGCAGCCAATCAATGTTCTCTCTCATTGATGTTTCTTTTTTTTTTTTTTGCCTCACCCGAGGACATTTTTTTTATATTTTGTTCATATAGAGTGGGAGGGAGAGAGAGAGAGAAAGAGACATCGACGTGAAAGGGACACATTGAGTGGTCGCCACCCACGCGACCCAACCAGGGCCGGGGACAAACTGCAACCGAGGTACATGCCCTTAGCGGGAACGAACCCGGGTCTCTCCAGACCGCAGGCCGACGCTCTAACCGCTGAGCCAAACTGGCCAGGGCTCATTGATGTTTCTATCTCTCTCTCCCTCTCCCTTCCTCTCGCTCTCAAATCCATAAAGAAGAAGAAAATTAAAATAACCAATGAATGCATAAATAAGTGGAACAACAAATCTATGTGTGTCTTCTCTCTCTCTCTCTCATCAAGGAATAAATAAATGATTAACAAATAAATAAAAATAGTACTGGCCCGTATCGGTTAGAGTGTTGGCCCTTGGACTAAAGGGTCACGGGTTTGATTCCCGGTCAAGGGCATGTACCTGGGTTGCAGGTTTGATCTCTGGCCCCGGTCAGGGTTGTCCAGAAGGCAACCAATCGATGTCTCTATCACTCTCTCTCCCTCCCGCCCTCCCTCCCTTCCACCCTCTCTAAAAACCAATGAAAAAGTATCCTCAGGTAAGAATGAACAACAACAACAAAATTGATTTTTAGAGAGAGGAATGGGGAGAGAGAGAGAAGCATCCATGTGAGAAAGAAGCATCCATCGGTTGCCTCCCAAACGCACCCCAACCAGGGATGGAACCTGAAACTTGAGTATGTGCCCTGACTGGAAATCGAACCCGAGACCTTTCGGTGTACCACGGAGGCTCCACCCAACTGAGCCACACCAATAGACCAAGACACTGGGGGGGGGGGGGGGGCAAGGAAAACAGCATCGGGACCAAGGAAAGTGAGTGACTGGGAAAGGGAGCAGAAGTGGGGGCCTTTCTCATGACTCCCGCGATTTCCCAACCCATCCTCACTTCCTCTTCTCTGCAGGCCCTGCACACCCCAGGGGCAGGGCAGGCGGGAACTCAAGGCGGGGGAGCGTTATTTCAACAGCAGTACTTTCCTGTCTGTCATTCCTGCACCGCGCAGGATGCGACGCTGGGCACGTTGGAGCTGCCGGTCCTGTGCATAGAAACACCCCAGACTCCAGCTTCGGTCCTTCGGGGGTCAGGACGCCCCCATGCCCCGGACCACAGTCAGGGATGGCCTCTGCTGCCTGTCGGCCTACTTGGAAGAACTGGGGGCTATGGAGCTGAAGAAGTTCAAGATGTACCTGAGGACGGCGACAGAGACGGGGGAGGGCACGATCCCCTGGGGGCGGATGGAGACCGCAGGGCCCCTGGAAATGGCCCAGCTGCTGGTGGCCCATTTTGGGATCGGGGAGGCCTGGCTGTTGGCTTTGAGCATCTTTGATCGGATCCAGAGGAAGGACCTGTGGGAGAGAGGACAGAGAGAGGACCTGGTGAGGGGTAAGGAGGTGGCCATGGGACTGGAGAGGCTACAACCCACCAATTCCCTTCTTCTTTCTTTTTTTTCTTTTTCTTTTTTTTTTATTCTCACCCGAGGACATTTTTCCATTTTTTGTTCAGATAGAGTGGGAGGGAGGGAGAGGAAGAGAGAGAGAGAAACATCGATGTGAAAGGGACACATCGAGTGGCTGCCTCCCACACGACCAACCAGGGCCAGGGACAAACTACAACCGAGGTACGTGCCCTTAGCAGGAACCGAACCTGGGTCTCTCTGGACCGCAGGTTGACGCTCTAACCGCTGAGCCAAACCGGCCAGGGCTCCCTTCTCCTTTCTGATCATCGCTGAGCTCACAAGACCTGGGCTCTAACTGTCCCCTTGGCCTTTGTTTATGCTGCTTGCTGCCTGGAACCCCCTCCCTCTATCACCTTTGTGTGGGAAATTCTTATTAATCTGTCAGCACTACCTTCTCTGAATTCTTTTGTTCTCTCCTCCTCCTCCTGGTCCTCACCCTGACCACCCTGGCTGGCTCAGAGGGCCCCCATTGGGCACCCATTTTTCTTTTGCTATATGTTCCGTCCTATAAAATAATCACAGTGGTCCTAACACATAGGTTTCCTCCTATAATAAGGCATCCATTGTGCATGATAACATATCAGTACATTCATTGTTTAAATACAGAGTTAGAGCCCTGGCCTGCTTGGCTCAGTGATTAGAGCATCGGCCCACGGACCAAAGAGTTTCGGGTTGGATTCCGGTCAAGGGCACAGGTACCTCAGTTTCAGTTCTGTCCCCAGCCCTGGTCGGGGTTGTGTGGGAGGCAACCAGTCGATGTGTTCCTCTCACATTGACGTTCTCTCTCTCTCTATCTCTCTCTCCCTCCCTCCCACTCTATCTGAAGATAAATAGAAAAATATCCTCGGGTGAGAATTTTAGAAATATATATGTAGAGAGAGAGTTAGATATTATTATGATGCACCTTGTATAGTTGGGAAAACTAGGGCTCAGAAAAGAAATTATTTGCCCCCAGATAAAAGATTATGAGATAGTACATGGAAGTGCTTAACACAATAGCCACCAGATAGTAGGTGCTCATCAAACACCAGTTTGGTTGGAAGCTACAGAGATGGCATTGGAGCTCTGGTTTTTAATGCCATTTGTCACCCTAATGGGACATGGATCCCTCAGGAGCAGAGGGACTCCTCACACTTCTCTATGATTCTCTGTGACTCCAGTGCGTGGCTGTGTGGCCAGGAACAAAGTAAGTCCTGGCAAACATTTGTTGCATGAACGTTCAACTTTTGCCACCTCTGAACACACAAAGGCTCTGGTCTATGGCATTTGCTCATTTCCATGGTGTGAGTTCGCCCAGCATGGCTGATTTTAAGTTACTGATATGTCAACTGGGTTGTGATTCATAAAAAAATTTTTAATTTTAAAAAAATGTATTTATTGGTTGATTTTAGGGACAGAGAGAGAAATATTGATCTGTTGTTCCACTTATTTATGCATGCATTGGTTGCTCTTTGTGTGTGCCCTGACCTGGGATCGAACCTGAAACTTGGCTGTATTGGGGCAGCACCCAACCAACTGAGCCATACTGGCTAGAGCTGGTGTTTACCTTCTATGCATTGAACTCCCCGTGCTATGAGAACGTAAGGTTTATGGAGCAGAGACCTTGTGTCTTGCTGCACATTCAATGCCTAGGAAATGCCTGATGTCCAATATATGCATATTTGTTGGATGGATGGATGGATGGATGGATGGATGGAAAGATGAATAATGGATGGAAGGAAGGAAGGGAGGAAGGACAGATGGATGGGTAGAAGAAAAGAAGGAAGAAAGGATGGATGATTGATGAGACATGGCCGAGAGCTGAAGGGGAGGGAGGAATTCAAGCTGACCCAGAATTTCTTGCCTGAGGAGGCTAATGGGATGGATGGAGGTGCCAATCATCATGATGAGCACCCAGGAAGAAAAGCAGGTTATGAACTTAACCAGTGTCACCCCAATGGATCCAATAAAAGAGGGAAAAACTGTGGGCGATGAACAAATGTTTTAACAATAGGGGATGTGAGGTGATGGCTGAACACTCTGGGATGTGGGTGAGCAGAGAATTCTCATGTAGACAGTTTGAGATCATAGTAGCTAATGTTATTGAATGTCAGCCAGATATGTGCCAGCTGACCTCCCCAAATGTCTCTTCCAGATATTCCACCTGGTGGCCCATCCTCACTGGGGAGCCAGTCAGCATGTTCTCTGGAATTCTTTCCTGGAACTCCAAGAAAAGGTGAGCCATGAGCCTTGGACCTGTTAGAATGCATTGAGCACCACATAGCAAACTATCCAAGTGAGAACAGATGGAATGAAAACAGGCATTTATTTCACATTTGCACATAACAAGAAGTCTTAGGGTCGGTGGCTGCAGGATTCATGCAATGGATTAACGACACCCTCAAAGCCCCAACTTCTTCCTGTGTTTCAATTCTATCAACCTCCGCTATGTTGGCCTTTTGTCCAAAGATTTGTCATCTGATGGTTGCAGGATGGTGACCAAACCAGCTCATACAAAAGAATTCTTACACCCTGGCCGGTTGAGCTCAGTGGTAGAACATCAGCCCACAGACCAATGAGTCACAGGTTCAATTTCGACCAAGGGCATGTACCTCAGTTGCAGTTGGTCCCTGGCCCTGGTTGGTTCTGTGGGAGGCAACCGGTCAATGTGTCCCTCTCACATCAATGTCTCTCTCTCTCGCCCTTTCTTGCTCTCTCTCTCCCTCCCACTCTATCTGAAGATAAATGAAAAAATATCTTCAGGTGAGGATTAAAAAAAAAAAAGAATTCTTAGCAGAGACATAAAAGGGAAGCAAAAGGCTTTCTTCCTCAATAGACTGTCATTTTATCCAGGAATAAAATTATTCCAGTAAAGTTGTCCCCACAAGTGTTTGTACCCGTGTAACTCTCGGTTAGATGTTTCTTTCTCTCTCCCTTCCTCTCTCTCTAAAAAGTCAATAAAAACATAGTTTTTTTAAAAAAATCAACCAATGAATGCATAAATGGAAAAACAAATCAAAAGGTCTCTCTCTCTCAAATTAAAAAATAAAAAGGACATTTCCCACGTTAATGCCTCTGCTCCCCAGAAGGGAAGATCTTCGTGGGGAATGAAGTACCAAGGTTCTCGGGCTCCATCTAGAAAACTGCTCCAGAGATATTGCAGAGCAATATGCAATGTGCATAACCCATGGACACAGACAACAGTGTGGGGAAGGCCTGGGGTGGGGACCCGGTGGAGGAGGGCAATGGAGAAAAATAGGGACAACTGTAATACTCTCAACAATAAAGATAAATTTTTAAAAATAAAAAGAATAGCCCAGCTGGTGTGGCTCAGTGGTTGAGCGTTAACCCATGCACTAAGAGGTCACCTGTTCGATTCCAGGTCAGGGCACATGCCCAGGTCGTAGGCCAAACCCCCAGTGGGGGAGCGTGCAGGAGGCGGCCAATCGATATTCTCTCTCATGGATGGTTCTCTGTCTCTCTCCCTTTCCTTTCCTCTCTCTCTAAAATCAATAAAGAGCCCTGGCCAGTTTGGCTCAGCGGTTAGAGCGTCGGCCTGCGGTCCGGAGAGACCCGGGTTCGGTTCCCGCTAAGGGTACGTACTTCGGTTGCAGTTTGTCACCGACCCTGGTTGGTCATGCGGGTGGCAGCCACTCGATGTGTCCTTTCACATCGATGTTTCTCTCTCTCTCTCCTTTCCTCTCTCTCCCTCCCACTCTATCTGTACAGAAAAAGGAAAAATATCCTCGGGTGAGGATAAAAAAAAAAAATCAATAAAGAAAAACATGTTTTAATAATAAATACATACATACATACATACATGCATACATACATACATACATACATAAGGAAAAGGTATTGCAGAGCAAGTAGGCACCAGATCCTGCTGTGCCCTAACTCATGCATTCACGAAAGGTTGCTGATGAGTGTTCTGCAAACCCTTCCTTCCTCTCTGCTAGACCCCCGGGAGACCTACAGGGACTACGTCCGCAGGAAGTTCCGGCTGATGGAGGACCGGAACGCGCGCCTCGGGGAGTGCGTCAACCTCAGCCACCGGTACACCCGGCTCCTCCTGGTGAAGGAACACTCCAACCCCGTGTGGGCCCAGCAGAAGCTTCTGGACACGGGCCAGGGACACGCAAGGACCGTAGCACACCAGGCCAGCCTCATCCAGATGGAGACCCTCTTTGAGCCAGACGAGGAGCGCCCGGAGCCTCCGCGCACCGTGGTCCTGCAGGGGGCTGCGGGGATGGGCAAGTCCATGCTGGCCCACAAGGTGATGCTGGACTGGGCGGATGGGCGGCTCTTCCAAGACAGGTTTGATTACCTCTTCTACATCAACTGCAGAGAGATGAACCGGAGCGCCCCCGAGAGGAGCGCGCAAGACCTCATCTCCAGTTGCTGGCCGGAGCCCAGCGCGCCCCTGCAGGAGCTCCTCCAGGAGCTCCTCCGAGTTCCCGAGCGCCTCCTTTTCATCATCGACGGCTTTGACGAGCTCAAGCCCTCTTTCCACGATCCTCGGGGCCCCTGGTGCCTCTGCTGGGAGGAGAAACGGCCCACGGAGCTTCTGCTCAGCAGCCTGATTCGGAAGAAACTGCTGCCTGAGATGTCTTTGCTCATCACCACCAGGCCCACGGCCCTGGAGAAGCTGCACCGCCTGCTCGAGCATCCCAGGCACGTGGAGATCCTGGGCTTCTCCGAGGAGGAACGGAAGGAGTACTTCTACAAGTACTTCCACAACGCGGAGCAGGCTGGCCAGGTCTTCAACTTCGTGAGGGACAATGAGCCCCTCTTCACTTTGTGCTTTGTCCCCTTGGTGTGTTGGGTCGTGTGCACCTGCCTCAAGCAGCAGCTGGAGGGTGGGGGGCTTTTAAGACAGACATCCAGGACCACGACAGCAGTGTACATGCTCTACCTCCTGAGTCTGATGCAACCCAAGCCGGGGTCCCCAACCCTCCAATCCCCGCCCAACCAGAGAGGGCTGTGCTCTTTGGCAGCAGATGGCCTCTGGAATCAGAAAATCCTATTTGAGGAGCAGGACCTCCGGAAGCACGGCCTGGACGGGGCGGATGTCTCCTCCTTCCTCAACATGAACATCTTCCAGAAGGACATCAACTGTGAGAAATTCTACAGCTTCATCCACTTGAGTTTCCAGGAGTTCTTTGCAGCCATGTACTACATCCTGGATGGTGCGGACAGCGGGTCCCGCCCAGACCACAGCCTGACGAGGCTGATGAACGAGTACGGGTTTTCAGAAAGGAGCTTCTTGGCGCTCACCGTTCGTTTCCTGTTTGGACTCCTGAACGAAGAGACGAAGAGCTACCTGGAGAAGAGTCTTTGCTGGAAGGTCTCGCCTCGAATCAAGGTGGAACTGTTGGAGTGGATCCAAAGCAAAGCTCTGAGCGAGGGCTCCACCCTGCAGGTGGGCTCCCTGGAGTTCCTCAGCTGTCTCTATGAGATCCAAGAGGAGGACTTCATCCAACAGGCCCTGAGCCACTTCCAGGTGGTGGTGGTCAGCAACATCACCACCAAGATGGAGCACATGGTCTCTTCCTTCTGCCTGAAGAACTGCAGGAGCGTCCTGGTGCTGCACCTGTGCGGGGGCGCCTACAGCACGGATGAGGAGGACGGGGCCAGAGGGACTTCAGGGCACCAGACACTATTGGCACAATCGTAAGTACTCGCTGGCTGGGGCTCACTGTTCCAGCTCCTGCTCCTAGCCAAGTTCATGTTCTCAGCTGGGGGCGGGGGGGATTTCGTCACCACCTAAGGACATACTTGGCAATATCTGGAGAAATACTTGGTTGTCATAACTTAGGGAAATGGGAGGGGTGCTACCAGCATCTCGTGGGAAGAGAGCAGGGATGTTGCAAAAACACTCTTCTGTGCGCAGAACAGCCCCCACGACAGAGAACGATCTATCCATGTGTTCAGGTTGGTTTCCTCCTCTTAAACAATACCCGTTTGGACTAAGTCGGGGCCCATGTCAAAGAGAATGTGTTCAGTCAAGAAATATTATCCAGCCCTGGCCGGTTTGGCTCAGCAGTTAAAGCGTTGACCTACGGTCTAGAGAGACCTGGGTTCGGTTCCCGCTAAGGGCATGTGCCTCGGTTGCAGTTTGTCCCCGGCCCTGGTTGGTCGTCCCTGGTTGGTCGTGCGGGTGGCAACCACTCAATGTATCCCTTTCACGTCGATGTTTCTCTCTCTCTCTCTCTCTCTCTCTCTCTCTCTCTCTCTCTCTCTCTCTCTTCCTCTCTCTCCCTCCTGCTCTATCTGAACAAAAAATGGAAAAATGTCCTCAGGTGAGGTTAAAAAAAAAAAGAAATATTATCCAGTCCAGCTGGTATGGCTCAATTGGTTCAGTATCATCCTATGCACCAAGAGGTTGCTGGTTCGATTCCAGTCAGAGCACAAGCCCATGTTGTGGGCTCAATCCCCAATAGGGGGTGTACAGGAGGCAACTGATAGATGTTTCTCACATCAATGTTTCTCCCTCTTCCTTCTTTTCTCTAAAAACCAATTAAATGGCCCGGCCAGTGTGGCTCAGTGGTTGAGCGTCGACCCATGCAGTGAGAGGTTGCTGGTTCAATTCCTGGTCAGGGCACATGCTCAGGTTGTAGGCAAAATCCCCAGTGGGGGGCATGCAGGAGGCGGCCAATCAGTGTTCTCTTTTATTGATGTTTCCACCTCTCTCTCTCCCTCTCCCTTTCCCTTCTTCTCTAACATGAATAAAGAAAAAAAAACTTTTTTTAACCAATTAAATGAATAGACAAATAAATATATAAAGAAGAGATGATTATATATATATATATATATATATATATATATAAAATGAAATACTACTCAGCCATAAAAAAGATGAAACATTGCCATTTGTGCCTACAGGGGTGGATCTTGAGGGTATTATGCTAAGTGAAACAAGTCAGATAGAAAAAGACAAAAACCATATGATTTCACTTGTATGTGGAATATAAAACAAAAAGGTAACAAATGGCCCTGGTCGATTTGACAGCAGTTAGAGCGTTGGCCTGCGGACCAGAGAGTCCTGGGTTCAGTTCCCGCTAAGGACACGTACCTTGGTTGCAGTTTGTCCCCGGCCTGTTGGGGTCGTGTGGGTGGCAGCCAGTCAATATGTCTCTCTCTCACATCGATGTTTCTCTCTCCCTCTTCCTCTCTCCCTCCTGATCTCTCTGAAGATAAATGCAAAAATGTCCTCGGGTGAGGATTTTAAAAAAAGGTAGCGCCCTGGCCGGTTTGGCTCAGCAGTTGGAGCATCGGCCTGCGGTCCTGAGAGACCCGGGTTCGGTTCCCGCTGAGGGCATGTACCTCGGTTGCAGTTTGTCCCCGGCCCTGGTTGGTTGTGCGGGTGGCGGCCACTCGATGTGTCCCTTTCACATCGATGTTTCTCTCTCTCTCTGTTCCTCTCTCTCCCTCCCACTCTATCTGAACAAAGAATGGAAAAATGTCCTCGAGTGAGGATGATAAAAAAAACAAAAACAAAATAAATAAATAAACAAAGGTAGCAAATGAACAAACAAAACAAAGTCATGGATACAGACAACAGTATGGTAGTCACTAGAGGGGAACGGGGGGCGGGGGGTAGGAGGAGCGTGAAATAAGCAAGGGGTCAAGTATATCGTGGCCTATGGAAACTAGACTTCTGGTGGCCATGATGCAATAGGGTATGCAGATATTGAATTATAATGTCATTATGTTGTTAACCAGTGTTACCTGAATATTAAAAAAAAGATATTATCTTTGAGATGAAATTCATCTCCCATTCTTAGTCCAAGGATTTAAGTCTGGTCTCTACTGCTTACCAGCTATGTGACCTTGGGCAAGGAAAGCAGGGTCATTCAGAAGATAAACTGAAATGAAGATGACAGAATGCTTTATAAATTGAAGTGATAATCAAATGTCAAATGTAATCATTGTAAAGCAACTGGGAAAACTGGACTTGCCCTGTCGTCCCTTCACGCAGACCCGAGAGGAACGTTTTGCCGGATGCCTACAGCGATCAGCTGGCCACTGCTCTGAGCACCAACCCGAATCTGATAGAGCTGGCTTTGTACCACAACGCCCTGGGGAGCCGGGGTGTGAAGCTGCTGTGTCAAGGGCTCAGACACCCCAACTGCAAACTTCAGAACCTGAGGTGAGTGTAGACCGGTCTGGGCGTTTCCGATGGTCCCACCACGCCCTCCCGTAGGGCTCGGTCACAAAGAGCACAGGGTGGTGTGTTACTCTGCTCTGGCTACCATAACAAAGTGCCGCAGTCTGGCTGACTTAAACAACAGAAAGGTGTTTCCCACAGTTCTGGAGGCTGGAAGTCCTAGATCAAGGTGTTGGCAGGGTCGGTTTCTCCTGAGGCCTTTCTCCCTGACTTGTAGGTGGCGTCTTTCCCTATGTTCTCACACGGTCTTCCTTCTCTGTGTGTCTATGTCCCCATCTCCCCTTCTTATAAAGACACCAGTCATATTGGACTAGGACTCATTCTAAAGACCTCATTTTAACTGAATCAGCCCTGGCCAGGTAGCTCAGTTGTTTAGAGCATTGTCCCTATACGTCAAGGTTGGGGATTTGATCCCCAGTCCCAGCACGTACACGAATCAACCAATGACTGCATCAATAAGTAGAACAACAGCCCTGGCCGGTTTGGCTCAGCGGTTAAAGCATCAGCCCACAGACCAGAGTCGCAAGTTTGATTCTAGTCAAGGGCATGTACCTCAGTTACGGTTTGATCCCCAGCCCTGGTCTGGGTGGTGCGGGAGGTAACCAATCAATGTGTCTCTCTCATATCAATGTTTCTCTCTCTCTCTCTTTCTCTCTCCTTCCCTCCCACTCTGTCTGAAAATAAATGAAAAATAGCCCAGCTGGTATGGCTCAGTGGTTGAGCAACAACCCATGGACCAAGAGGTTGATGGTTCGATTCCAGGTCAGGGCTCATGTCCAGGTTTCAGGCTCAATCCCCAGTGGGGGATGTATAGAAGGCGGCCAATCAATATGTTCTCTTGTCAGTGTTTCTGTCTCTCTGTCCCTCTCCCTTCCTCACTCTCTAAAAATCAATAAAAACATATTTAAAAAATAAAATAGCCCTGGCCAGTTTGGCTCAGCGGTTAGAGCATTGGCCTGCAGTCCAGAGGGACCCAGGTTCGGTTCCCGCTAAGGGCATGTACCTCGGTTGCATGCAATGGAAATGCTTTCAAATAAAAGGGGGAGGAGGTACCAAAAACACACAGTGGAAATCTCTTTTTTATTTGTTCATCCTCACCCAAGGACATTTTTCCATTTTTTGTTCAGATAGAGAGAGAGAGAGAGAGAGAGAGAAACATCGACGTGACAAACTGCAACTGAGATACATGCCCTTAGTGGGAACTGAACCCAGGTCTCTCTGTACCGCAGGCCGACGCTCTAACTCCTGAGCCAAACCGGCCAGAGCTACAGTGGAAATATCTTAAAAGATAGAAAGCAAAATGGCGACAGTAGGGGCTGGAAGAAAGGGGGCCCAGGCGCTATTTTTGAACAGGTATAGAGTTTCTGTTGGGGATGATGGGAAAGTTCTGGAGACGGATGATGGTGATGGTTGCACAACAATGTAAATGTACTTAATGCCACTGGACTGTACAACATGGTCAATTGTATGTGATGAATTTTTTTCTTGTGTTTTGTTTTTTGTTCATCTTCACCAGAGGATTTTTTTTTCATTGATTTTTAGAGAGTGGAAGTGGGGTGGACATCAATGTGAGAGAGACACATTGATCGGTTGCCTCCCAAATGTGCCCCGACTGGGGTTGGGGATCAAACCTGCAACCCTGGTACATGCCCTCGACCTGAAATTGAACCTGTAACCTTTGGTGCACTGGCGGACACTCTAACCACTGACCCACACAGGCCAGGGCTTCCGTTATGCTTTTGAGGCCAACTGACCAGTGTGGCCCAGGGAACACCGTGGGACCTGCTCAGGACAGGATACCTTGTTCTTCTCACAGTGATGGAGAGGAGAGGCGCAGAGCAGACCTGAGGATTGGATTCCTCTCTTCAGGACAATCTCTGTGAAAGCATTTCCTTTGGTGCAAAGCACCAAAAACATGTTATACTACTCTTGTTGCTTTTATTATTATTTTCTTTTTTTTTTATCCTCACCCGAGGACATTTTTCCATTTTTTGTTCAGGTAGAGTGGGAGGGAGAGAGAGGAACAGAGAGAGAGAGAGAAACATCGATGTGAAAGGGACACATCGAGTGGCTGCCACCCGCACAACCGACCAGGGCCGGGGACAAACTGCAACCGAGGTACGCGCCCTTAGCGGGAACCGAACCCGGGTCTCTCCGGACCGCAGGCCGACGCTCTAACCGCTGAGCCAAACTGGCCAGGGCTAAGCTCTTTGATTTTAGAAAAAGGGGGAGCCCTGGCCGGTTTGGCTCAGCGGTTAAAGCGTCGGCCTGCGGTCCTGAGAGACCCGGGTTCGGTTCCCGCTAGGGGCATGTATCTCGGTTGCAGTTTGTCCCCGGCTCTGGTCAGTCGTGCGGGTGGCAGCCACTCGATGTGTCCCTTTCACGTCGATGTTTCTCTCTCTGTCTCTCTCTCTCCCTCCCACTCTACCTGAACAAAAAATGGAAAAATGTCCTCGGGTGAGGATTAAAAAAAAAAAAATAGAAAAAGGGGGAAATGGACCCAAAAGAAGCAGGAGAGAAAGGATAAGGGGCAGAGCCCAGCAGAGCACCCCCAAGGACGTGACCTGCCTCTTTTCTCCTTCGCACCCCAGGCTGAAGAGGTGCCGGTTTTGCAGCGCCGCCTGCCAGGACCTCAGGGCGGCTCTGATCACCAACAGGAATTTGATGCGGATGGACCTGAGCAGCAACGCCCTGGGGCTGCCGGGCGTGAAGCTGCTCTGCGAGGGCCTCCGGCATCCCAAGTGCAGGCTGCAGATGATCCAGTGAGTCACCTCCCCCGGGGAACAAGGTCTTAATCTGGGTGGTCTCCTGGGTTTGAAATATCTCCCCACGCGTTGCTGATCCCCGAGTCTCGACCTCGAAATCAGGGCTACCCTTCCACCCATGACCTTAGACCTATGCTCTGGATTGTTTGCACTTCAGAGAACCTCTTTCTGGTTTCCTCGGACCCCACCATTTCCACGTGGTGAAGGGGTCCCTGGGGCCACCTGCCCACCCAGAACCCACACGCGTCCAGGGTGGGGAGAACCCCAGAGCTCCTGGACCCGAGACCCGTTAGTGGTCCACTTCCCTTTTCCTGGGCTGTGTGCTAGAATAGCCCCCCACGTTCCCCCTCGCCCCCCACCCCCACCACCACCAAGCAGTTCTCTATCTCACCAGGTAGGCGTCCTGCAATTTAACTCAATTCTGACAGTGTCAGATCCTCCAAGTTAGGACTTTAGTCCTATAAGACTGTCCCCACTGCAGATGATGTCAGTCACCAGTCCAGATTGTCACCTATACTTCTGACCCACGGACTACAAATCGGAGGTCGCCGTGACCTCCTCCTTGGGTTCAGTTCATTTGCCAGAACAGCTCACAGAACTCGGGGAAACACTTCCATTTATCAGTTGATCAAGGATATGTATAAAGGACCCAGATGAACAGTCAGAGAAACAGATGCAGAGAGCCAGGCCTGGGAGGGTCCCAAGGGCAGGAGTTTCTGTCCCTGTGGAGTTGGGGTGCATCGGCCTCCTGGTGTGGATGTGTTCACCAACCTAGGAGTCCTCTGAACCCCACACTGGTAGGGTTTTATGGAGCCTTCATCAGGTAAGCGTGATTAATCCTTAACTCCGTTTCCAACCCGCCTCCCCTGTCTGGAGGATGAGGGTAGATTCCAAGCTTCTAATCATAGCTTGGTCTTTCTGGAGACCAGCCCCCACCCAGGAGCCCAGCCTGAGTCACCTCATTGGAACAAAAGACCCTGTTATCACCCAGGAAATTCCAATGGATTTAGGAACTCGGTCAGGAACTGGGGTCAAAGATCACATATTTGAACCAAAGAGGTTCCCAGGGCTCTTATCACTTGGGAAATTAAAAAGGGATCTGGGAGTTCTGTGCCAGGAACCAGGAGCAGAGCCTAACATGCATATTTTTACTTATTTTAATATGTTTGCATTGGTTTTTTTTAGACAGAGAGATAGAAACATCCATGTGAAGGAGAAATATTGACAGGCCGCCTCCTGCACGCCCCCTACTGGGGATCGAGCCTGCAACCCAGGCTTGTGCCCTGACCCGGAATCGAACAGGGACCTCTCATGGGAGGACAGTCAGTCAGTCCACTGAGCCACACTGCCTGGGCCACCGGGAACCTTTCTGTTCTTTATATATTTGTCAGGCTTTTGCCCTGTTTCATGGAAATCAGGAGCCCTGTATTAACTTAGTTGTGAAAGAATCCAAGTTTCCAATTTTGCTGTTGTTGTTGTTAATCTTCATCCGAGGGCATTTTTGTATTGATTTTTACAGAGAATGGGAGGGAGGGAGAGAGAGAGAAACATTGATTCAAGAGAAACACATCGATTGGTCTTCTCCTTAATGACCTGGACCCGGGCCAGGGATCCAACTTGCAATCCAGGTACATGCCCTTGACCAGGAATCGAACCCACGACCCTTCGGTTCCCCAGGTGGACGCTCTAACCTCTGAGCCAAACTGGCCAGGGCCAAGTTTGCAAATTTTGCTTTCATATGTAGTTCTGTGGTATCTTTCTTTACAGTTTACTAGTAATGTTGACATATCATTTCTTGGTTCAAATATATCTTTCTTAAATATAACAACTGCATTTTTCCAGGAAATAGGAAGCTATCTGGGGGACCAAGGAGATGGTAGAGCTCCAGATTATTACCCTTATTTTAGAGTCAGTGAACGTGATGCCCTGGCCAGTTTGGCTCAGCGGTTGGAGCGTCGGCCTGCGGACCAGAGAGTCCCAGGTTCGGTTCCGGCTAGGGACACATACCAAAAAAAAAAGAACCTGAGTCACAACATCACCTGAATCTTAAATCTGAGACTTGATGAAAACATGCTCGATGCCCAGCCACTGTGACTCAGGGGACCCATCGACCAATAGGTTGTTGGTTGATTTCTGGTCTGGGCACACGCCCAGGTTGCAGGCTCAATCCCCAGCAGGGGGCGTGCAAGAGACAGCCAATCGATGTTGATGTTTCAAATCAATAACAACATACCTTTTTTAAAAATTTGCTTGAGGCCAGTTTGGCTCAGCAATTGAGTGTCGGCCTGCGGACCAGAGAGTCCCGGGTTTGGTTCCTGCTAGAGGCACGTACCACAAAAAAAAATTTGCTTGAGGTCACAGGGTTAGTGGGTGGTGGGTATGGAAGTAAACACAGGTCATTGAGCTCTAGAGACCCCACTCCGAGCTGTCATGCCACATGGCCTCGATGGCACAATCAGCCCTGCCTGGTCATTGCCTGCCCATCTGTCTTATTAGACAGGAAGTCCTGGCTGAACATGACGCCGTCTAGTTCACCTGTGTAGCTTTAGTGACATGTGTGGGCTGGTACTGGGAGCCAAACGGGCCAAGGGGTGAGCCATCAGGAAGCAGAAAAGCAAGGTGGCGCCTTCGCCAACATTTCTTTCCTCCCGAGGTTGAGGAAGTGCCAGCTGGAGGCAGGGGCCTGCCAGGAGCTGGCCTCCGTGCTCAGTGCCAATCGACACCTGGTGGAGCTGGATCTGACAGGAAACGCGCTGGAGGACTCGGGTCTGAGGCTGCTGTGTCAAGGCTTGAAGCACCCAGCCTGCAGGTTGCAGATCTTGTGGTGAGTTCTCTGTGGGGCCATCTTAAAGGGCCGATTTCCTCGTCAGCCGGTGTGGCTCAGTGGTTGAGCATCAACCCATGCACCAAGACCTTGCGGGTTCGATTCCCCGTCAGGACACACGCCCAGATTGTGGGCCCGATCCCCAGTGGGGGGCAGTCCGTGTTCTCTCTCATCGATGTTTCTCTCTCATTGATGATTCTATCTCTCTTCCTCTCCCTTCCTCTCTCTCCAAAAACATTCATAAAGAAAAAAAATTTTTTTTGAAAAAGGCAGGTGTCCTCATATTAAAGGATGGTACGGGAATGCATTCACTGTTTGTCCCCTCATGTTCATGGCAACATTGTCTGCAGTAGCCAAGAGGTGAAAACCACTTAAATGTCCATCATGGGTGAATGGATAAACAAAATGTGGTGTTACATAAAATGGAACGTGCCCTGGCCAGTTTGGCTCAGCGGTTAGAGCGTCAGCCTGCGGTCCGGAGAGACCCGGGTTCGGTTCCCGCTAAGGGCATGTACCTCGGTTGCGGTTTGTCCTTGGCCCTAGTTGGGTCGTGCGGGTGGCAGCCACTCGATGTGTCCCTTTCACGTCGATGTTCCTCTCTCTGTCTCTCTCTCCCTCTCACTCTAACTGAACAAAAACAAAAAACAAAAAAAATGTCCTCAGGTGAGGATTAAAAAAATAAATAAATAAAATGGAATGTTATGCGGCCTGAAAGAAGTAATGAAATTCTGATACGTGCGCCCTGGCCAGTGTGGCTCAGTTAGCTGAGCATCATCCTGTGTACCAAAAGGTCACCAGTTTGATTCCCAGTCAGGGCACATGCCCAGGCTGTAGGCTCAATGCCCCGAGGGGGTGTGCAAGAGGCAGCTGTCTCTCCCACATGAATGTTTTTCTCTCTCCTCTCTCTCTCTCCCCTCCTCCCTCCCTCCTTTCCACTCTCTCTAAAAATCAATAGAAAAAATATCCTTGGGTGAGGATTAACCAAAAAATAAATGAAAACTTTTTTTTAAAAATTCTGATACATGCTACAACATGGATGAATCTGGAACACATACTAAATTAAATGCCAATCAAAAAAAAAAAGATTATATGATTCCATAGAGAAAGAAATAACAGTGGTTGCTGGGGCCCAGGCAAGAGGAGGTGGGGAGCTGCTGTTTAGTGGGGACAGAGTTTCTGTTTGGGTTGATGAAAAGTTCTGGAGATGGACATGGTGATTCTTGCCCAATAATGCACTGAACTGAACACTTTGAAAAGGTTAGAATCTTAAATGTTATGGTATACATTCTTTTTTTTTTTTTTTTTTGAAAATTTTTTTTCTTTTCTTTATCTTCACCCAAGAACATTTTTCCATTTTTTGTTCAGATAGAGAGGGAGGGAGGGAGGGAGGGAGGAAGGGAGGGAGGGAGAGAGAGGGAGGGAAACATCGATGTGAAAGGGACGCATCGAGTGGCCGCCAACGCACAACCCAACCAGGGCCAAAGACAAACTGCAACCAAGGTACATGCCCTTAGCGGGAACCGAACCCAGGTCTCTCTGGACCGAAGGCCAACACTCTAACCACTGAGCCAAATCGGCTAGGACCTTTTTATTTTTTATCTTTATTGTTGAATGTATTACAGATGTTCCTCATTTTCCCCCCATTGAACCTCTCCTCCCCACTCCTGCCCCCCTCCTGCCTTTTTCCACTGTTGTCTGCGTCCATTGGTTATCCATATACGCATATAAGTTCTTTGATTTATTTCCTCCAACCCCCCAAACCCCTTCTCGTTGATGTTTGTCAGTCTAGCAACCAATTTATTCTTCTTAATCCCTTCACCTTTTTCACCCATTCCCCCATACCCTCTCCCATCTGGCAACCAACAAAATGTTCTCTGGATCTATGAGATTGTTTCTGTTCTGCATGTTCATTTTGTTTGTAGATTCAATTGTCGATAGATATGTATTCATTGCCATTTTGTTTGTTCATATATTTTATCTTTTTCTTCAAAAAGACCCTTCATCATTTCATATAATAATGGTTTGGTGGTGATGAACTCCTTTAGCTTTTTCTTGTCTGGGAAAGTCTTTATATGGCCATCGATTCTAAATGACAGCTTTGCAGGATAGAGTAATCTTGGTTGTAGGTTCTTGCTTTTCATCATTCTGAATATTTCTTGCCACTCCCTTCTGGCCTGCAAAGTTTCTTTTGAGAAATCAGCTCAAAAGACAGTATTATGGGAACTCCCTTGTAGGTAATTATTTGCTTTTCTCTTGCTGCTTTTAAGATTCTCTCTTTGTCTTGAACCTTTTGCATTTTGATGATGATGTGTCTTGGTGTGGGCCTCTTGGGGTTCATCTTGTTTGGGACTCTTTGTGCTTCCTGGACTTGTATGTCTGTTTCCTTCACCAAGTTAGGGAAGTTTTCTGCCATTATTGTTTCAAAGAGGTTTTCGATTTCTTGTTCCCTCTCTTCTCCTTCTGGCACCCCCAAGATGCGAATGTTGGCACGCTTGAAGTTGTCCCAGAGGCTCCTTACACTATCCTCATTTTTTTGGATTCCTTTTTCTTTTTGCTGTTCTGTTTTTTGCTTCCTTATATTCCAAATCGATGGTTTGCTTCTTGGCTTTACCTACTCTGCTATTGAATCCCTGTAAATTATTCTTTATTTCAGTTAGTGCCTCCTTCATTTCTGACTGTGCTTCCTTCATTTCTGACTGGTCCTTTTTTATGCTCTTGAGGCCCTCACTAAGTTTATGGAGCATCCTTTTAAGCAGTATTTTGAACTCAGCATCTGTTAGGTTGCTTGTCTCCATTTCCCTTAGTTCTTTTCTTAGAGGTTTGTTCTGTTCTTTCATTTGGGACCTGTTTCTTTGTCTCCTCATTACAGCTGCCTCCCTGTGTTTGTTTCTGTGTATTACTTAACGAGAGATATGGGGCTAGCTGAGACCAGATGGTGCTTGTTTGAAAGAATTTAGAAAAACCTGAAGCAGGATCCAAGACAGGCCAATCCTATGTTAAAGCAACTGGCAACAGCTTGGGTGGGCTTGAAAGTTGGGTGGGGCAGGGCCTCAGGGAATCACCTGGGCAGGGCAACCAGTGTGAGCCAGGTTGGTGGAGTCCCAGATATGGTGGCTGTCTACCGCCCCAGGGAAAGGCTCGGCTCACCAAAGGACCAAAGGCCTCTGACAGCACATTTGTCCTGGAGAAAGCCCTCTCTCCAGCCCTCGCTTCAGTGCCAAACAGCTCAGTTCTTCCCTGTATGTCTCTGGCGCCCCTCGAGCTACCTCTCCAAGCTTAGAGGGAGAGAGTCCGATAAGTCCGTGCGCGGGCCCTTTAGGGAGCTGCCTGGGGCTCCAGCCGCCTCAGCCTCCCTGAGCCTCATTTCCTGCTGGTTTTTCCAGCCAGAAGTGATGGGGATTCTCTTCCTGGCACTGGAACCCTGAGCTGGGTACCTGGTGTGGGACGGGGACCCCTCAGTCTTCAGGAAGGACCTTCCCAGCCAAGGTGTCCTCCTGATTTTTATCCGCCACACGTGGGTGTGGGACCAGCCCAACTGCCTCCGCCCTCCTACCAGTCTGGATGTGGCTGCTGGTTTAATTCCGTAGTTGTAGGACTTCCATTCAGCTTGATGTCAGGTGGTTTTAAATAGTTGTTCTGTAGTTTAGTTGTAACTTTGATGTGGTTGTGGGAGGACGTGATACTGTGTTTACCTACCCACCGTCTTGACCGGAAGTCTCGGTATACATTCTTTTGTATGTACCTATTATAGTTTGTTTATTGTTCATCCATCCATCAATTGGACACTCGGGTTGCTTTCACCTTTTGGCCTTTTTTTTTATCCTCACCCGAGGACATTTTTCCATTTTTTGTTCAGATAGAGTGAGAGGGAGAGAGAGAGAGAGAGAAACATCGACATAAAAGGGACACATCGAGTGGCTGCCACCCGACCATCCAGGGCCAGGGACAAACTGCTACTGAGGTACGTGCCTTTAGCGGGAACCAAACCCGGGTCTCTCTGGACCCTGGACCGCAGGCCAACATTCTAACCACTGAGCCAAACCAGCCAGGGCCCTTTTGGCTTTTTTAAATAATGCTGCTAGAAATATAGGTGCACAAATATTTCTTTGAGCCCTTACTTTCTGTTCTTTTGGATAAGTAACCAGACATGGAATTGAGAAATGGTATGGTTTGGTTTGGTTTTCATTTGAAAGATAGAGAGAGATTCTTTGTTCTACATATTGACGCACTGATTGGTTGATTCTTACATGCAGCCTGACTGAGGATCAAACCACAACCTTGGTGTATCGGGAGGATGCTCCAGCCTATTGACCTACCTGGCCAGGGCTCATATGGTTATTATTAAATTTTTTTTTTTTTTGGTACGTGCCTCTAGCAGGAACTGAACCTGGGGTTCTCTGGTCCACAGGCCGACACTCCAGCTGCTGAGCCAAACCAGCCAGGGCGGTTATTGTTAATTTTTATAAGAACTGGCATATTGTTTTCCACGGTGGCTGCACCATTTTACATTCCCACCCACAGTGATTCCAATTTCTCCACGTCCTCGTCCACAGTTGTTATTTTCTGGCTTTGGTTTTTGTCCTTTTAAAAATAATGATAATAACAATAATGGCCATTCTAATGGATAGGCAGTGATGTCTCGTTGTGGTTTTGATTTGCATTTCCTTAATGATTAGTGATATTGAGCGTCTTTTCATGTGATTTGTGGTTATTTGTGTATCTCTCTAGAGAAATGTTTATTCAAGGTCTTTGTCCATTAAAATATATAAATATATGTTGAATAGGTTAAAGATTTGTCACCTCACTGCTGCAGCCTGTGAAGACCTGGCCTCCACCCTCAGTGTGAACCAGAGCCTGATGGAGTTGGACCTAAGCCTGAATGACCTAGGGGACCCCGGGGTCTTGCTGCTGTGTGAGGGCCTGAGGCACCCCCAGTGCAAACTGCGGACCCTCCGGTGAGTCCAGCTTTGCCCACCGCTACAGCAGCCCAAATCCGAAGTCCTTGTCCATCTAACTCAGCTCCCTGGAGCCCGGTTCCCATCCCTCCTCTCCTAATCTCCAGCTCCATCTGCCTCTTTTCGAAGATCTTTCTGCCGCAGGACCTTTGCACCAGCAGCTCTTTCTTCCTGGAATTCCTTCCTGCTCTGCTGTCCTCTGTTGTACACTAACAACATCTGTTTTACCTGTCAGGACTCGCAAGAAATGCTTCTTTCCCATGGACACTTTCCCTAACCCCTTAATAAGGTTCCTCGTTTTATGATGCTATTTGAGCCCTGGCCGGTTTGGCTCAGCGGTTGGAGCGTCGGCCTGCGGTACAGAGAGACCCGGGTTCGGTTCCCGCTGAGGGCACGTACCTCGGTTGCAGTTTGTCCCCGGCCCTGGTTGGTCGTGCGGGTGGCAGCCACTCGATGTGTCCCTTCACATCGATGTTTCTCTCTCTCTCTCTTCCTCTCTCTCCCTCCTGCTCTATCTGAACAAAAAATGTCCTCGGGTGAGGATTAAAAAAATAATAATAATATGATGCTATTTTACCTTATGTTTTGCCTCAGCATCCCTTATCCAAATTGATGGTTGTGTGTTTAAGTGTAGGTTTCCAAATGTGCAGGGCTGTGTCAACTCCTTATTCCAATGTCTGTTATAAGACCTGGCTCAAAAATACATGCTTTTTAAAAATATTTTATTGCCCAGCCCGTGTGGCTCAGTGGTTGAGCGCCGACCCATGCACCAGGAGATCACCAGTTCAATTCCCAGTCAGGGCACATGCCCAGGTAGTGGGCCCGATCCCCAGTGGGGGGGCATGCAGGAGGCGGCCAACAATGTTCTCTCTCATCGATGTTTCTCTCTCTCTGTCCCTTCCTCTCTAACATCAATAAAGAAAAAAAATGTTTAATATTTTATTGATTGATTGATTCGAGAGAGAGAGAGGAAGAGAAAGGGAGAGAGAAACATTGATGTGTTGTTCCACTTATTTATGCATCCATTGGTTGATTCTTGTATGTGCCCTGACCTGGAATGAACCCACAACCTTGGCGTATCTGGACAATGCTCTAATCAACTGAACTACCTGCCAGGGCTAAAAATATATATGTTTTTTAGTGAGTGAACAGATGAAAAAACAAATGAGTCACACACACACAAAAAAATGTAGCTAGGCTGTTTTTCAGAAAATTCTTTTTCTCTGTAGTCCCCAAGGAGAGTTTGTTTGTTTTCTTTTCTACAAGAGCGTCCTCAATTTTCTTATGTCATTTGCTCTAGAAGACATTTTTTTTTCCTCTTGAGACATTGAGCTGTATTGTGGCTTTTTAAATTCTTTTATGTATTTATTTTAGAAGAGAGAAAAAAACATGGATTTGTTGTTCCACTTATTTATGTATTCATTGACTGACCGTTGTGTGTGCCCTGACCAGGATCGAACCCCCAACCTTGGGGTAACAGGCCGATGCTCTAACCAACTGAGCTACCCTGTCAGGGCCTCTTTATTCCTTCTCAATACTCTTCCTGTGTTCCTTCCTTGTTTCTGCCTTTCTTTTTTATTTCTCTCTCCCTTCCTTTTCCTACCTGCCAGTCCCTTTTGTCCTCATTTTCTCTCAGAAGGGCGAGTGTGGAGTGATTCTCTGCACTGAGCACGGCACCCGGCATGTAGCCTCTCCCAGGTGTCCCTGAGACGTCACCTCTGCCCTGTGCTCGGTGTCTTTCCAGGTTAGGCATTTGCCGGCTCAGCTCTGCAGCCTGCGAGGGGCTGTCTGCTGTGCTGCAGCAGAACCGCTGTCTGCGGGAGCTGGACCTGAGTTTCAACGACCTGGGAGACCGGGGCATGCAGCTTCTGTGCCAGGGGCTGCGACACCCCACCTGCAGACTGCAGAAGCTGTGGTGAGTGGCTGGGAGTCCGGGCTGCTGGCGGTGGTGGTCCCTGGGGTGCCAGCCTTTGCCTGTCTTCTTGCTTTTTTAAATTTGTATTGATTGATTGATTGATTGATTGATTTGAGAGAGAGAGAGAGAGAGAGAGAGAGAGAGAAACATCTATCTATTGTTCCACTTATTCATTGGTTGAGTCTTGTATGTGCCCTGACCAGAGATCAAACCCTAAACCTTGGCGTATCAGGACGATGGTCTACCCAACTGAACTACCCAGCCAGGGAAAGACATATCAACTTTTTTATTTTTTATTTATTTATTTTTTATTTTATTATTATTATTTTTTATCCTCACCCGAGGACATTTTTCCATTTTTTGTTCAGATAGAGCGGGAGGGAGAGAGAGGGAGAGAGAGAGAGAGAGAAACATCGACATGAAGGGACACATCGAGTGGCTGCCACCCACACGACCAACCAGGGCCGGGGACCAACTGCAACCGAGGTACATGCCCTTAGCGGGAACCGAACCCGGGTCTCTCTGTACCGCAGGCCGACGGTCTAACCGCTGAGCCAAACTGGCCAGGGCCATATCAACTTTTTTAAATTGTCTTCCATGCCCGGCCAGTGTGGCTCAGTGGATTGGGCATCATCCCATGGACTGAGAGGTCCTGGTTTGATTCCTGGTCAGGGTACATGCCGGGGTTGCAGGCTCAATTCCCAGTAGGGGGCGTGCAAGAGATGGCTGATCACATTGACATTTTTATCTCTCTCTCCCTTAAAAAACAAAACAAAACAAAACAGCCCAGCTGGTGTGGCTCAATGGTTGAGCATTGACCTATGCACCAAGAGGTCGCTGGTTCGATTCCTGGTCAGGGCACATGCCCAGGTTGTGGGCCTGATCCCCAGTGGGGGGCATGCAGGAGGCAGCCAATCAATGTTCTCGCTCATCGGTGTTTATATCTCCCCCTCTCCCTTCCTCTCTCTCTAAAAAAAAAAAGAATCAATAAAGAAAGAAAATAATTGAAAGAAAAAAACCAATTTAAAATTGTCTTCCATTTTCGAGTGTTGCTTTTCTGGGGCACTGGGCAACTGGGAATTGAGATGGGGGGCTTAGGGACAGCATCTCTCCCTTAATTAGTATTGCAAGGGTCCCTCTGGGAGGTCAGTACCCACCCCAAACTGTCTCATGGCAGTCGCATGGAGTTTTGAGAGGTTTTTGTTGGTTTCTTTATCCTCACCCGAGGATATTTTTTCCATTTATCTTCAGCCAAAACATATGAGTTTTTAAGGGGACCCCATGGAAGGCGCCTCCACTGCCCAGTCTCCTGACGTGGAATCATTAGTCTTGGTCAACCTCCCTATACCACCTCCTGCCAAGCTCTCACCACAACCATCTCTTGACCTGCTGTGCCTGTGATGTGGGTGTATGTGCCCCACCGCGCTGTGTGCCTGTGAGGTGGGTGTGTGTACCCCACCGCGCTGTGTGCCTGTGAAGTGGGTGTGTGTACCCGACCGTGCTGTGTGCCTCTGATGTGGGTGTGTGTGTACTCCACCACACTGGTTTTTCCCTTCCTCTGCAAGTCCCAACTGCTCTCTTATGCCTGGTTTTGTAAACTGGTATCTATTGCCTCCCAACTTCAGCCAAACTAAGATTAACATATTTCCTTTTACTATCCCAGCTACAATAGTACATAGTCTTTCCAGAGGTTGTCGTGAGAAGTAAATGATAAGGGGTAAAGCCCCTAGCAAGGTGCTTAGCACACAGTCAGTCCTCAATAAATGCTACCTAATCTTTTTTTTTTTTTTGGTACGTGCCCCTAGTGGGAACCGAACCTGGGACTCTCTGGTCTGCAGACTGACGCTCCAACTGCTGAGCCAAAGTGGCCAGGGCTAATCTTTTTTTTTTAAATATGTTTTTGAATTTTTAGAGAGGAAGGGAGAGAGAGAAACATCAGTTGGCTGCCACCTGCATGCTCCCTACTGGGGATCAAGCTCACAACCTGGGCATGTGCCCCTCCTGGGAATTGAACCAGGACCTCTCAGTCCATAAGACGATACTTAATCCACTGAGCCACACTAGCTGGGCAATGCTACCTAATCTTATTTTTATTGTTTAACAGCAGAGAATACAGAAAAGAAGCATAGTTGGAGACAAAATAGACATCAGAGAGAATCCGATGATATACTCTTGGGGCAGGTGGCAGACCAAGTCATACTGGCTGCTTAAAAAAAAAAAAAAGCCCTGGCCGGTTTGGCTCAGCAGTTGGAGTGTCAGCCTGCAGACCAGAGAGTCCCAGGTTTGGTTCCCACTAGGGGCATGTACCAAAAAAAAAAAAAAGGAAAAGGAGGAGGATTTATTGACTTATTAACCAGGATGGGCTTCAGGCATGGCTTGATCTAGGTGTTTGGAATCTTGATCTCCATTCTCTTCTATACTCACTGCTGTAGTGGCTCCACTATCAGATACAGTTAACTTTGACCCTGCATGGTGGCAAAATGCCAGCAGGTCTATAGATGACTTATTTTCAAGTTCAGGTTCTGATAGCAAAAGTTCCAGGAAAAGTATATTTCTGATTCACTGGCTTTGGGTGGAAACTTTGTCCATTTGGAACCATTCCTGGTGGCTGGGGACATGAAAACCAACCCACCAACTTAGGCCTGGATCCTCTATCCACCTCTAGAGTTTGAGGACAGCATGAGTCCACTCTAGATAGAGCTATGAACTGAGGGTCATCCTTAAATGTCACATTTTTTAAGAGGTTATTTTTATCAATTGATTTTTTTAGAGAGAGAGGAAAAGAAACACTGATTTGTTGTTACGCTTATTTATGCATTCATTGGTTGCTTCTTGTACGTGCCCTGACTGGGGATCGAACCCAAAACCTGAACTGAACTACCTGGCCAGGGCCTCTTCAATGTCTGCTGTCACCACCTTGATCTGGGCGACTTTGGTTCTACTGTTTTTGTGTAAACGAGTCCTCTAAAAACTACACCCTGTTTCCCCGTGAAGATAACACTTTGCGAAAGTAGCTCTTGGTGCTGTTTCAACCACGCTTTATCTTCAACAGGCTGGACAGCTGCGGCCTCACAGCCAAAGCTTGTGCGGATCTCTCCTCCACCCTGGGGGTCAACCAGACCCTGACAGAGCTTTATCTGACCAACAACGCTCTGGGCAACTTGGGTGTCAGACTTCTGTGCAAACAACTGAGTCATCCTGGCTGCAAACTGCGAGTCCTCTGGTGAGTCCCCTGGTGAGACACAGGCTCTGGAGCTGGGAGCAAAGGTCACTGGTTGAGACCCCCACCCACCCAGTTTGGACAGACATGTGGAAATATTCCTTTGTCCACTCATGTGTGCAATTCGTGTGGAACACAGCAGAGGCCCTACTTTACATCTTGGGCGATATCTCTGGCTGAGTTGACCTTCCAGAACTCACTGTTTATTTCCTCATCTGTCAAATGAGGCCTGGCCTCAAATTCCGTCACTTTCCAATTTTGTGTGTGTGTTGGGGGATATGGGGTTGTTTTGTTTTGGGATTTTCGAGAGAGAGAAACATCTATTTGTTGTTCCACTGATTTATGCATTCATTGGTTGACTCTTGTATGTGCCTTACCGGGGATCGAACCTGCAACCTTGGTGTCTTGTGACGATGCTCTAATAACTGAGCTACCTGGCCAGGGCTGAAAATGCAATGATACCAACAGGGCAAGATGCATGCAAGATCTGCGACATCGACTGAACACCTCGATGGTGGCCTGGAATAACATTTCCATTCTGCACCCGTAGGTTGTTTGGGATGGATCTGAGTAAAACGACCCACCGAGAACTGGCTGTGCTGCGAGGAACCAAACCCTACCTGGACATTGGCTGCTGACTGCTCTCTGCTGGGTCTGCCTCAAGGCAGGACGGAGGAAGGTCATCCCAGCACCCACTCCTCAGACAGGGACCAGGCTCTGTGTTTCCTGGAGAGACACACTCATAGGCAGAACAAGCCTTTCTGTTTGGGGGGGTCTAGTGCGATGGAACTTGGAGCTCTGGTGTTGGGGATGTTGGTGCCATGAGAACTGAGGGCTGGGCAGAGGCTCCCACCCCAGGGTGATTTGCCCCCACTCCCACCCAGGGGACACTGGGCAGTCAGGAAACATTGGGGTGTTGGGGAGCTGAGAGCATCTAGTGACTAGGAACTGGGCGTCCTGTTCAGCATCCTACAACACACAAGACAGCCAGCCCCCAAAGGATGTGACTGAAAGTGAAAGTGTGCTGTCCAGCTGGGGGGCTCAATTAGTTGAGCACCGTCCCCTACACCAAAAAGGTTTCAGGTTCGAGTCAGGGCAAGTATGAGAGGCAACCCATTGATGTTTCTCTCTCTATCAATAAAAATATCCTCATGTGAGGATGGAAAAACAGAAGAAAATGGACTTGTGCCCAAGTTGAGAAACCCTGTTCTCAAAGATTAACGGTGTGATGGCGACACCAGGCGCCCGGGGAAGGCTGGTGCACCCAGTGCTCGTGAGGACAACAGCCCACAGTAGTCCTTGCCATCTGGTTTGTCGCCAAGATTTGGAGCCTTGGCTGGAGCCCAAGGGACCGCGGCTGGACACCTGCCAGCCACGTAGCTGCAGGCTGGCCAGTAACCGCTGGGTGCTGGGTGAAGATCAGGAAGGAATCAGCCAGAATTTCGCTGTTGAGGATTTGTACTAGGGGAGTTCGGACTGTGAAATCTGTAGGGTTTTGGGAACCAGTGTTATCCCAATAAATAGATTTTACAAGTGCTGTGAGCATGTCAGTCTTAAGTCTAAACTGAAGGCGTCTAGAAAGACTATTTTCGCCCCTGCAGGGTAGCCCAGTTGGAGCGTTGTCCCCATATGCCAAGGTTGCAGGTTCGCTCCCGGGTCAGAGCACATACAAGCATCAACCAAGGAATGCATCCATAAATGGAACAATAAATATGTTTCTCCATACAAGCAATCAATTTTTTAAAGTTCAGTTGGTTGAGCGGTTTAATGCACCAAAGGGTCATGGGTTCAATTGTCAGTCAGGGGACATGCCCAAGTTTGGCGCTCCATCTCCAGTAGGGGGCCTGCAGGAGGAAGCGGATCAGTTTCTCACCAGGTTCGCATTCTCTTCACCACCCCACCCCCCCAACCCCACCCCCGCTAAAAATCAATTAAAAAAAAAATTTTTTTTCCCTCACCCTAGGACATTTTTCCATTTTTTGTTCAGGTAGAGTGGGAGGGAGAGAAACAGCGACGTGAAAGGGACACATCGAGTGGCTGCCACCCGCAGGACCAACCAGGGCCGGGGTCAAACTGCAACCGAGGTACATGCCCTTAGCGGGAACCGAACCCGGGTCTCTCGGGACCGCAGGCCGATGATCTAACCACTGAGCAAAACCGGCCAAGGAATTTTTAGATTTTTTTAGAAAAAAAAAACGGGAAGGTGGGTTATAGAGGTAAAAAGACTTCATAACTTTTAACCTATGAAAACTAAGTCCTGGTTAAAAACTAAGTCCTGGCCAGTTTGGCTCAGCGGTTCAAGCGTATATGAGGCAGCCACTCAATGTGTGTGTCCCTTTCACGTCCATGTTTCTTCCTCCAACTCTTTTTTTTTTATCCTCACCCGAGGACATTTTTCCATTTTTTGTTCACGTAGAGTAGGAGGGGGAGAGAGGAACAGAAAGAGAAGCATCGACGTGAAGGGACACATCGAGTGGCTGCCACCTGCACGACTGACCAGAGCCGGGGACAAACTGCAACCGAGGCACATGCCCTTAGCGGGAACCAAACCCGGGTCCACACCCGGGTCCCTCAGGACCACAGGCCAATGCTCCAACCGCCGAGGCAAACCGGCCAGGGCCCTCCAGCTCTATCTTAAAAAAAAAAAACCCTCAGATTCTGCAGATATCATGCTTGTGGACAATATATGACGACAATGAAATTCCTTGATAAATACTTCACCTTAACAAAGCTGGCCTCCATCCCATGTTTAATAGATACATCTGGTAGCAACGGCCTATCACCCACTCAGAAGCTGACCCAATGAGACCCTATCCTTAGGCAGTAAATCTCACGAGGAAACGCGGGAGTTACATTCAGGTGCAGGACACGCTTTTTGGTTGGGTGGGTGCATAATCAACCAACCGGGTTATTCCCTGGTCCCGGAGGGTCTGCAGCAACGCACCTACTTAGGTCATGGGCGACATTGGGTTTGGAAGACACCTACTTAGGTCATGGGCGACATTGGGTTTGGAGACACCTACTTAGGTCATGGGTGACATGGAATTAACACCTTAAACCTCCAACCCAGATGGCCCCACTCCCAGAAAGAACCAGCAACCAGGACTTATTGTGCCCTGGTACTGACTCCCTTCGCCTGGAACCAAGGTGAACATGATCCTGCGTATAATGTCAGACACTGCCGCTGAAGGCATGTTGTATTTCGTGAACTTTTATTGTGGGGGAAAGCCGGCGTCTCATGAAGTGTGTTCCATATCCCAGTAATTTCTTGGCATTTCAGGCGCCTTCATGACCACATCCCACCATAACCACTATGAACCCGGTCCAAGGTTTAAGCCACGAGAAACCACCCTTTGTAGAGCCACTGTACAGTGGTTTTAAAAGGCAAACAGGTCCGTCTTAGAACAGCCAATTTTTTAAGTTTTGAGGGTAAAAGGGTTGGTAGCCAGAAAAGTAAAACAGGAACTACGAGGGGTAAATATCGAAAACATTTCCAGTTTTACGGTTCAGGCGTGTATAAACGCGGGAAGTGGGTTAATCGCGGCAAGTAGGGTTTTTCAAACCCCAACCTTCCCCGCCCGAAGGAAACCATCACTACTAAAGTGCAGTGGCACAAGGTGACGCACAGGGGGCGAAAGAAGAGTCCAATCTCACGGATAAATTGCGCACATTCTCAACTTTTTATTTTTCAAATGAACTTTCATCATGCTGACCTCTTGTATCCAGCTTTGGCCATCTAGGGGCCTGCAAGTCAAGGGGTACGTTAAGCAAAGACAAGAACTGCAAGAACCTAGGAGGAAGAGTTGGAAGTATGCGTCCAGAACAGAACTGGGGTGCCGGGCTGTCCGCGACCACAGCCTGGAGGAGAAGCGGGGCGCACCGTCTGGCCGGCGCCAAACTGCGCAGCGGAGCGAGCGCAGGGTGCTGGGGTGTCAGAGACCACCTTTGAGCAGGAAAAATCGGGGGGAATGCTCTGGCTTTGAGCAGGAAAATCGGGGGGAAAGCTCTGGTCGGCGCGCAGGGCGCCGGGTCGTCAGCGACCAGCTTTGAGCAGGAGAAGCGGGTGGAAGGGTCTGGCCGGCGCCAACTTGCGCAGCGGAGGGAGCGCAGGGTGCTGGGGTGTCAGCGACCAGCCTTGAGCAGGAAAAGCGGGGGGAATGCTCTGGCTTTGAGCAGGAGAAGCGGGTGGAAGGGTCTGGCCGGCGCCAACTTGCGCAGCGGACGGAGCGAGCGCAGGGCGCCGGGTCGCCAGCGACCAGCCTGGAGCAGGAGAAGCGGGGCGAGCCCTCTGGCCGGCGCCAACCTGCGCGGCGGAGCGGGCGCAGGTCTACCTGTGGTGGGGCTGCAGCTCCTCCAGGACCCATAGCAGGAGGGCGGCTGCAAGTCTCGAACGGTCATCTCGCCTGAAAACCCTTTCCAAACCACCCCACCAGAAGACTTCCTCGAAGTGGAGACACACAAAAGGGAAGCACTTTCCAGTTCTGAAACACGGTTAGTGCCTCCGTTTTGAGTATCACCGCCCGAGTCGTCGTCGGTCGCAGCTCTTCGTGAGGGGACTCCGACGGAGCATCGGCTGCAGTGTGCTGGAGACGTCTAGGGGCGATGGAGGTCTAGGGGCGATTGAGCAACCCAAGCATTGCTATGCATGAGCGCATGAGTCAGATTGCAAATTGCAAGGACGACTCGTAGCCATCGCCTGCACACAAGGGCCACCCTGGTACTCAGGGTCTCCCTGGCTCCCTCCCCACCAGGGCCATTGGCGAAGCGGCTCCTTGGGGAGAATCCCGGGCAGGTCGAGGATGGACGGCGCCCACCGGTCACACTCAAACGTTACAGCACTTTCCACCTGGTAGCCGGAGAGGGCTGCAACGTTTGGGTACCACAGGATGGGCAAGGCCCCCAGGCGTCGGCCAGGTGGCTTGGACCCTGCATCCCCCTCCCACGAACACCCTGGAGCCGGCCGGTCGTCCGGAGAAGGGTCTCCACCGGTGGAACTCAAACAATGGCGGCACTTCCCTCAGGAGCACAGAAAGTGCCCCCACAGTTTGAGTCCCACAGGTCGAGGGGTTCCAGGTGAAGGCCACCGCCAGCTGGAGGGTTACCGGACGTGCACAGCAGTCAGAGCCTAGAACGTGGGGAAGAACAAATCACGAAAATTACCTGGATACAACCACCGCTACAACCTGTTAAAGTGAGTGACCCTTTGCATGGACCGAAGGTCACCAGGGCAAGCGTTAACATGAAAGGTTCTAGTTTTGATTTAGGGGCTCGGGGTTTAGACTAAGTGGCCCCACTTTGGGCCTGTTGTATCCCTGCATTACCACTCCAAAGGGGTAGGGCGGGTAGGGTCCCCACCACCAGAAACCCAGAGTAAATGGCCAACATCCAAAGATTGCGGACAGAGTAGACAAGGGTTACATGGAACAGGTTAAAGGAGGTGAGGGGAAAGCGAGGTAGGTATTGGAAATAAGGGATCCCAGGGAACCCCAGAATCCTGAAAAATGGGGTGGGCTGAAGTTCTAAGCGGGGAGGAAAGAAAGGGGGGAAGGTGATACTTACATACGCCAGGCGCGGAGAGAGGCTCGCCATCTTCCCTGCAACTGAACGCTGGGTGATGCTGGGCTCTTAAATAAGCAAAAGACCCACCCCACACCCCCCCAACTCTAGGGCGGGACCACTCCCCTCCCTTCACCCAGACCCACCCTACCCCCTTTGATTAGATCTCCTCTAGGTCTGACACAGCCTCAGGTAATCTTTAAAAAGATTAAAAATTTTTGAGATGATATTGTTAAAAAAAAAAAAAAACATATTGCTTGGTGGTTTAAAAAAATTATATTTATTGTGAGATTAAAAAATTATTTTCTTGTTCCAAAGAAGGGACCTAATTGTAAACAACGGGAAAATGCAGGAAATTATAACGAACTGTGCATTGAACAAATATTTAAAGACTATATTTATTATTATATTAATCAAGCAAATAAGATACCGGGTGCTTTGCTACTTCCATTGATCGGAAGGGGTGACTAGGGCCATGGGTTTTGGCGTCTAGAACAGAGGTTTTCGATGCGAGGGGGGTGATGTTATTTTTCCCTCCCCAGGAGATATCTGGCAATGTCGGAGGACGTTTATTTTTGTCCTCACAAATGGGGATGCCAGCATTTACTGCTAGGAGCCAGGGCTGCAGGTAAGCGTTCTACAATAGGAAACAGCCCTTAGATCAAGTATTGTCCCGGCCCCAAAAGTGAATAGGGCCGAAGCTGGCATTACTGCTGCAGCCACAGACAGGGTCATAGGCAGAAAAACTATTTTCAACAATCAAATCCATACAGTATAGTAAATAGGACATATAGTAAATAATCTTGTAGCAATTATGTGTGGTGCCGCTTTGTGAAATATATGATTGCCCAACCAATATTCTGTGTACGTGAAACTAAATCAGAATATTATGGAATATCAACTAGCCGGCTTTGATCAGCGGTTAGAGCGTCGATCTGTGGTCCAGAGAGACACGGGTTCAGTTCCCGCTAAGGGCACGTACTTCGGTTGCAGTTTGTCCCCGGCCCTGGTTGGGTCGTGCGGGTGGCAGCCACTCGATGTGCCCCTTTCACGTCGAGGTTTCTCTCTCTCTTCCTCTCTCTCCCTCCTGCTCTATCTGAACAAAAAATAAAAAAAATGTCTTTGGGTGAGG